TTTTCCCCATGGAATTCGTGTTTGTTGTGTACGGTTCTCTTTTAAAAAGGCAGGATATTATTTATATATATATGTTATAACATAACATATCCATTGGTAATAAGACACATTTCTTGGTGGAAATAATATGTTTTACTGTTTCCCTTACTTTTGTTTTCATTTTTGTTTTTACCTGGGAGAATTCATTTGCTAATTATTTTCTTTTCTGGCTTTTTATTTTGGTGATTTATATGTTATTCTATAACATTCATAATAATAATAACAGTAACAATGACAGCGATCGCAAAATTATAATAATATCTTTTTTTTCTACACACGTGCTTCCCCTTAATTAATTTCTATAAAACAAGAAAGACTGAATTTGTAGAATAAAGTACTGGTAGATGGTTGGCAGTGAGTGATCTGCAGGAAGTTAAGCCTGACTTAGGTTTTGTGCTTGCTTGTTGGCTGGCAGTCAGCAAGGCATATCTGCAATTTTGAAGAAACTCCTCATGTCCCTCCTCCTGAGATTCGAACCCGTGTCACCCAGTACCGCTTGCAGTCAGAGACGTTACCACAGTGATGATGAGCTCTATTTAGTGGCATGGTGGCCACATTTGTGACATGACTGATAGAATTTAGTCTGCACCAAAGATAGAACGGAGGTTATGAAAATAACCAACCAACAACAGCAGCAGCATCCAGCGCCAATCACCATCAACGGGAGGGATTTGGAAGAGGTTACTTCATTCACTTATCTAGGGAGCGTTCTCTCAACTACAGGAGGAACGGACGAGGATGTCAAATCGAGAATCGAGAAGGCGAGAAACACATTCATCAACCTGAAAACAATCTGGAAATCTTCGTCACTCAGCCTGCATCAACAACAAAATTCGGATTTTCAATACAAACGTCAAGTCAGTCAGTTCTTCTATACGGATCAGAAACTTGGAGGGTCACAATGAATATTTCCAACAGCCTGTTGCAGACCTTTATCAACAACTGTCTTCGTTCTATACTGAAGATCAGATGGCCGGAAAGAATCACCAACAAGAAACTATGGGAAAAAACAAAACAAGAACCAATCGCTCAACAAATATGCAGGAGAAACTGGAGATGGATTGGACACTCGTGGCTGAGGAGGCCGTTGGGTGACATCACGCGTCAGGCCATCGCTTTAGTGGAACCCGAAAAAGAAGTGGCGAGTGGGAGGTCCAAGTGTGACATGGAGGAGATCGTGTGATGAGGAACTGAAACAGTATGGACTAATATGGATGCAGGTGAAAAGTACAGCAGAAGACAGAAGCAAGTGTAGACGTGCAGTTGAAGCCCTATGTTCCACTAGGAGCCCAAAGGAACAATAATATATAATAATAAAGGTAGAACTAGACAAATTACACTAGTTACTAGGTGCTGTCCAATCAAAAATAAAATGACATGATTCTTTGATCACAGGTTCTCTGGCATGACCTGCAGACTATCTGAAATTATTATGGTTATAACAGAAGGGAAATAGCACACTTCAGTGTTGGAATGATAGCCAACAGAATGTCTATAAATTCCTTTTCAAGTCATCAATGATTAATATTCATTTCAAAGTAGAAAAGCAGGGGAGGGGGTAGGAGAAGGTAATAAACGTTAGATTACAATGTTACATAGTAACTCAAAAAAGGTATGGTTCATACGATTGAATTTTCAAGTATTAGTTTGTAGGGGTTTGATTGACTGGTTACAGGATTTCATCATCATGAGCTGACATTGGTTAGAGAACCGTTGGGAAACAACCTGGGAGTATTGGACAGCTGTTTTGTCAGCCTAGTTTGGGACTTTTCATCGGTACGCACCTACCATAGGGGTTTGAACCCAGGACTTTCTGGTAACGAGGCAAGCGAGCTCGTAGACCACTGGGCGACTGGGATCCCCTCCAATGGCCAATGAATTTTAACTTCTGCCAATTTACGACATAGCGCAACCGCTAGCCAATGTCTTCAGGAGGTATTTGTCCTCACACCAGACCTGCTGTACCTTACTGGTCAGGACTTCCCAAAAGAACCTGAATAGCGTCGCCGAAGACATTGGCTAGCGGTCGCGCTATGTCATGAATTAGCAGAAGTTAGAACTCATGGGCTGGCCATCGGATCAGTCGGGTCTCAGTGGCTTAATGGTCTACGAGCTCACTCGCCTTACAACCAGAAGGCCCTGAGTCTGAACTCTGACGGTGGTTGCGTAGTGATGAAGAGTCGTAAAGTAGACTGATGAAACACCTGGTAGTTTTCCAACGGTTCTCTTACTCATGTTGGCTCATACGACTGAAACTAGCTCAATGAGAAGTAAATCATTAATCTGGATGATTATGCAATCAGTGTAGCCAAAATCAAAATGCAGTGACCAATGGAAATGAGAGACTTATATGAATAAAATGAAGTCAATTTTCGCTGCGAAATTCCGTCTTTCTTGCATTATCAAAATGTTTGTTTCATTTGTAAATATCTAACAGTGATCATGTGTTTTACTTTGAATTGAGTACAATATTGACTTACTTTTTTGGTTTTACCTTGTTTTACACTTTTATCATAATTGTGTGCGTGTGTGTGTTTTTTTTGGGGGGGATATTCTATTAATTTGTTTATTGGATAATATATCACACAATAGTGAAACAGTATTGTCATCCAATGAATGATATATCAAATGCAATGAATAAAACTAACTGACTAGGGCTCGCGCTATGTCGTAAATTGGCAGAAGTTAGAATTCATGAGGCATTGGAAGGGATCCCAGTGGCTCAATGGTCTACGAGCTCGCCTTGTAATCAGAAGGTCCTGGGTTCGAATTCCGGTGGGTGCGAACTTCTGAAGAGCCCCAAACTAGGACGAAACAGCTCTACAGTACTCCCAGGTGGTTTTCAATGGTTCTCTAACTAATGTCAGCTCATGATGAACTAACTAACTAACTTGTTGTTGTTGTTGTCTGAACTTAAGAAATTGATCTTGGCATCTTACTACATACCTGACTTAAACATCCTTGAGAGACGCACAGTCACAAAACACTCCTAACACAAGGAAAAGACGACTATTCATTCGTGGAATCTGTGCTTCTGTTCAACAGAAGAGAATAACATCAAAAACTCAAAACCACATCAACAGTGCCGTTGAGCAGGCTATACAGGCTAGATAAGTCTCTATTATAAAACAAGTACTGTAGAATAGAAATAAGTTAACCAAAATTCAACTGTAAGAAGTAACTTAGACTCAAGTGGAATATTCTCAACAAGGTGGGATAAGAACTCTCTCACACACACACTGACAATTTCCATAGACTGTTCAAGGGCAGAATGACCTTCACTTACTTACTCACTCATTCAAATAAAATCACAGTTGTATAACAACAAATTATCAACACCATCACACAATCACACAGAGAAGCGAAATTAAACAGGAACAAGAACAAATATTTAGGATTGCTCATGCATTTATTCCCCCTTAATGAATTTGAATAACGCAAGAACAACAGTGGTTTGTGCAGAATAATACGGCACCATCATTGCTTTTTCGTTGGCTTCTCATCAGCTCAGCTGCTTGCTTACAGTTTAAATAAATTATGAGGTTTATGTACAGAAAAGTTTTAACATACTTGCAAATTTTTTTCATGATGTCAGTTGACAGAAGGTTCCACAATTAGTGAATAGTGCTCAGAAAATTACGTTTATATGGTATCGAGGAGAAAGAAGGGCACACCTCTGATTTTCTGGACATGTGCCGAAAAGCCTACGTCTCAAGGGAACAAACTCTGATAATATGGATAATGAGGTGAAAATCGTGAAATCCTTTAAAATTATCAGTAGACAAACAAAAACTCGATTTTCCTTAGGTTCGCCGAAGCACTTTCCATCAAACGCCTGAAACCTGATTTGTGTGTGTTTTCAGAAAGAAACAGTTATTAGTCTTTCCTTACCCTGCCTGGTAACTGGATGTCGTCACTGCCTCTCTCTCTAATCTGATTAAGTAATCTTTGGCTTTGACCTCAACCCCCTTTTATAATCTGTAATTTCGCTTGTCTTTTGTTTCTATGATTTGAGTTGAACACAGTATATTGTGACCTAATTTATTAGTCACTCATCATCTTACGCATCTCTCGCCTTTATAACGTGACTATTTTACCATTTTATGCATGCATTTATTTTTTCTAAAGTTGAACTGCCTATGTAAAAGCTATATAAACGCAATTTTCTGAGCACTGTTCACTAACTGCGAAACCTCCTTTGAACTGACATCATGTAAAATTTGCAAGTATGTTATGTATATATATATATATAATATTAAACTCTATTCAGAACGATAATGATCATACATAATGGAAACTTTCGACATTACGTAATCAGATAAAAGAGAGGTGAAAATATCTAGTTAACAGGCTGGGCGAGGAGAGACTGATAACTGCTTCTTTCTGAATGCATGAATCAGGTTTCAGGTGCTTGATGCAGATGGCTACAGCAAACTTAAGGAGAATTGAGCTCTTTTGTCTATTGATAATTTTGAACGGTCTTGTGACGTCCACCTCATGATCTGTGTCAAGGAGATACCTGGCACTAGCACTGTTTAAAACATTTGTTCCCTTTAGACAGAAGCTTTTTAGCGCATGTTCAGAAAATCGTAGATATGCCCTCCTTTTTTCTGCTCTTCCAATGTAACTGCTCCCGCAGGTACATGTAAATTTGTATATACACTTGGAGTTAACATGAGAAGGCTATGTATCGATTTTTGATTGTATCAATAAGCGAGTTGTTCGATAGACGGACATCTGGAAAATTCTTCTTCTCCCCATTTACGATAAATGCGAAAGAACACGAAGAAGAAGGAGAACTGTAAAAGTCAGGTTTTGAAGTTGTCTGGTCTCCGTGGTGTCAATGTGCGATATACCATTCAATAAATAAATTATTACGACACTACGTACTATTACAGTGGTCAAATTTTACATAAAACGTTATTATAATTTTTTTCTTTAAATTCTACATAAATTAATAGGAATGCTGTTCGACTAGCTATTCGTAAATTGACGTATGCCCCCGAAGAACCTGCTCCACAACCATCTGCAGTTGTTTTGAAAGAATTTATCATGAGTCCTGGCACTCTACGATTGGAGGTTTCTTTAAATAAAGAAGTAAGTCAAGTTGTCCGTTTATTTTTATATTCTTGACAAGATAACTATTAGTTATACATCATGAAATCTGTTTATTCAGAAGTAACTGGATTATTATTACGTCATAGTTGTGATATATACGCATGGGAAGAAAAATTCTAAACCAGTGATTAAGGCTGACAACTAATCATTCACTAACCTGACCTGATCATTCCTCACACAGTTTAACAGAGTTATTATAAAAATAAACTCAAATGAGAAATATTCACTATCTTCGATTTCGATTAGTTTCAGTGTAGATTATGTTACAGGTGAGGAGTGCTTTTAATTTCCTAATCTTAGTCGAAACAGCTGTTCATTGCTCCCTGATCTTCAATGATCCTCTAAAACCGGTCAATATGTGATGAAGTTTATACTAAAATTATTCGAAATCCTTGTAAAATCCTGTTCAGTTTATCAGTGATTGTAGGGTAATTGTATGGTATTTTCTCTTCGTACAACATCTTTCAGAAAAATGTTAATTGACAGTAGTGTATATCCTGTGACGCCATATACTCCTGTCAATTGTCACCAGTGATATTTTTAACCGTGGTGGACTGGATTATGTGTCAGACTGTTGGAGGCAAGGAGTCAGGAATACGCTGGACCGCCGATAAGGAGACCCTAGAAGATCTGGATTTCGTGCATGGATGATTTATGCCTAGTGTCATACAACCTCGAAGACACACAATCAGGCGAAAACCAACAAATTGGCTGAAGAAGCAGCCAGAGAAGACAGGACTCCAGGTGAACAAAGAGAAGGCGGAGGTGATGGAGATAATCAACGAACTACAGCAACAACAACAACCAGCAGCAATCACCATCAACGGGAGAGATTTTACAAAAATTGCCTCCTTCACTTATCTAAGAAGCAATATTTCAACTACAGGTGACAGAACGAATGAAGATGTCAAAGTCATAGTCAGAAAGGCATGATACACCCTCATCAATCTGCACTCTCTAGTATGAAGAACAAGATTCGCATTTTCAACACAAATGTGAAGTCGGTCAGTTTTTCTATGCGGGTCAGAAACTTGTACTGCGTGTCACGAAAAGGATGTCCAACAGCTTGTTGCAGACTTTTATCAATAGCTGCCTTCACTCGCTAAGAAGTGAACATCAAATGGCCAGACAGAAAGAATACGTAGGAAGAAACTCTGTCTGGCAACAAACCAACAGGCAGAGCCGATGATTCCCAAACTAGGATGAAACAGCAGCTGTCCAGTACTCCCTGGTTTTCAATGGTTCTCTAACTGATATCAGTCCGTGATCAACTCGTAAAAAAAGTTAAGGTTCATCAAAGTGAAAACTTGCTCAGTGAGTTGAAATCATTATTATGGATGACTAATCAATGTAATCGAAATTCAGCTATCAAGGGAGTGAGAGATTGATTACATGCTTGATTGCAATTGCTTCAGCAATCCATGGTGAATTTCCTGCCCTTTATATGTATAGTATTTTGAAGGATTTAGAAATGTCGACAAAATGATGTGTGTCCACAAGGTTGCTGGAAATCGCACTTTGCGAATATTTGCTTCCTTTAGGAGACAGTTTTCTTGGAATATACTCTGAAAACCTGGTAGAAGCCTTTCTTTCTGTTCTTCCAGTGAACTAGCTTCCGCAAGTGCATGTAAATTTATAAACTCAGTTGAAGGTAACATTATCAGGGAAACCGCTCCAATACTGAGGAGTGCTCCACACCAGTGATAATTTCATTTAACAGCTATATAATGCTGCCGCATTCCAAGTGAATTAGAATTCAAATCCCAGAAAAGCCTTTGATGTGAAGTCAGAAGTAAGACGGAGCTGCTTAACACCACAGATGTTATTCCTAATTATGGTGAAGTGGATCATGCAAGGAGCGTAAGAAGGGGCATACATTTGACTGAAAGGCAGACTCTCGAATGCATTGATTCCAAAGATGTTTTATGTCTAGCGTCATATTAAATAGAAGATCTACAGGAGAAATCCGACAATTTAGCAGAACAAACAGCGAAGAGGGCTCCTAACCATCAACTACAGGCACCAGTCAACATCAACGGAAGAAATCCTGAGTTAATCAATTCTCTCACTTATACAGGCAACATCGAATGAGAATGTCGAAGGTAAGACTGTAAAAAGCTAGACAAGCCCTCATTGACTTGAAATCAATATAGAAATCTCCTGAATTCACGGTAAAGAGGAAGTTTAGGATTCTTATCATTGATTTCTCTATAATTTGAAGACTTCCAGCCTCAATTAAAGAATTTCCAACATACTGTCAACTTTCATCAATAGCTGCTTCCGATTAATGCCACAGGTCACAGGGATGGTTGGAGGAGGACTTAAGCAACAAGGAATTCTGGCATCAACACCAATCAACAACCTTTTGCCCAAGAAATATGCCGAAGCAATTTGGAGTGGACTGGACACATGCTGAGATGACCGTTGTGTGACATCACGTGCCAAGCCCTCAATCTGGACCTGAATGTAAAACTACGAGTTGGTCGCTCGAGGCTAAAATGGAGGTGATTGTGTGGGGAGACTTACGGGCAGTCGTGGAGCCAGCTGGAAAAGGCTACAGACAACAGGGGGGAAATTTCAACGTGTTGGTAAAGCCAGATATCCCATTTGGAACCTAAGGCAATATTAAGAATAATATGTGTAGGATTAGTTTTGACCATTCCATTGATGCTTCAATCAGAAATTGGGGTTTATTCTTAAAGTCTGTTAAATAAAAAGCGTATCCTATTGAGCGTTTTCCTTTTATTTTTCAAATAAAATTTCTTTTCTCTCACCCATTTTCTCCATTTAAATGTGATTGGTCAGTCTTCTCAAGATGATTAGTTTGTTCGTTCAAGCGAATAGCTTCACTGTGGTCCAACTTCAACTTATTCTAATTAGGTTTGCGTCTCATAATGATTTGATCCATTTATTTTTTTAATCTATTTTTAGTTTTCTTTTTCTCTAATAAAATACTTACTTGTTTTTTCTTTTTTAAATATATTTTCTTGCTTAAAAGAAATATTATCATGGAGAGTCGATTGAAATCAACGTGTTGGTAGATAATAATTCAAATAAAACTGTTAAAAAGATTAAACTTTCAGGTGAGTAATTGAAAAGTATATTACATAATCTATTCTGCTCTTTTTACTCGTCCTAATCACACACACACTCACACTCATGATAGTAGATTTTGTGCTACCAGGAGGAATCTCTGCCACACGTATATTTCCTCCTGTTTTGCAACTCATCACCTGGATTCTTCTTCTCTCACTGTGATTGGACACTATTAGTGACTAATGTAATGTGTCTAGGGCTTTGTTCGGTGCAGATTTAATTCTGTCAGTCAAGTTTGCAATGTGATCACCATTCTAGATGGCTTGCCATCACCCTGAACTGTTGTTATTGGATGGTTAGTGGTGATCGGTGGAAAGTCTTTCCTGAACTAGATTTCTTGTTTGCTTGTTGACAGTCACCAGACAGTAAAGCGTATTTTCGGCCTCGCGATAGCCTCTTTTAATTACGTCTGTGTCTGTGGCACTAGGTAATGCGGGTTTAAATCTCAGAGAGGATGTAGATTCACTTTGCTAACTGGTGACTTTCAACGAGCAGGTACGAAACCTAGGTCTAAGGCTTCCTGCCAATAGCCTACAACCGTCTAATATCAACTCTCTTACTCTATCTGCTGGGTGTTCCACAGACTGAAGCGTTACTCAGCGAAACAAACCGCCTGTGATACCTTAAGCCTAGAATGCTAATGATGACGATAGGATGGCGTTTAACGTTGAAAAAAACAACATGCATCCTGATTCTCTTCGAAAGAATACTAATCAAACGAAGAATCACTTCAACCACGAAGTCGATCTATTCATCAGGTTCTATCTGTTCTCATAACACTGATCAGTTGATGAAAGTACAATACTCTTTAGAAGAAATTCCCCGGGTGCTACACTTTTTATATCCTTCGTAGTTAGAGAAATAATTATTATTATTGACAACATTAACGTTTCTTTTTGGTTAAAGTCTAATTCTTTAGCACGAGAATTCCTTCCAAGGTGTATATATATTTATATGAATTGTCTGTTAATAGATTGTAATTAAAAACATATTTTTTCAAGTATTGGTTTTGTAGGGATTTTGTCTGATTGCATGGAGGATTTTATCATGAGCTGACATCAGTTAGAGAACCATTGGAAAACTTGCAGGGAGTACTGCATAGCTGCTTCGTCCTAGTTTGGGACTCTTCATCAGTACGCACCCACCGGGATTCGAACCCAGGACCTTCTGGTTACAAGACGAGCTAGCTTGTAGACCATTGAGCCACTGGGACCCGATCCAATGGCTAGCCCATGAATTCTAACTTCTGCCAATTCACGCACGACACAGAGCGACCATTTCGCAATGTTTTCTTCGATGAGTTATTGCCTCACCTACAACCTGCTGCTGTACCCTACTGGTCACGGCTTCCCACTAGAACCACAGGTTAACTGCCTGAATAGGGCCAGTGACTAGTGAGCATCAGATTAATTTTCAAGTATTGGTTTTGTAGGGATTTTGTTTGATTGCATGGAGGATAACTGATGTCAGCTCATGATGAAATCCTCCATGCAAAAAAAACATATGTGCTTAAATGACCAATGTTATATGCGTTTCTGTTAAGTCATTCAAAAGACTTAGGATCATGAGTGAACCAGTAGTTGGAAGTGTTTATTCAAATGTATTTTCAGTAGACTAGCAACATGTCAATTGCCATCAACCTGCTTAAATGCTTAAATAGGTTACTAAATTGAACGCGAGATACATGAAAGTAAACGATTATGGATAACAGTGATTCTGAATGGTTCATATTGAATTGTACTCATAATTATTATTACTAATTCCTTGAGTCCCGAGTGAAACATACGGCTTCAGCAGCACTTCTCCGTTAATTCCTCTTCTCCACGGCCCTCTTCATCTGAGCGCACGATTGCCTATAAGCTTCCACCTGCTTTTCACACGATCTCCTCCAAATTTGTAGTTTTCTATTTGGCTTCCGCTGAAATGATGGCCTACAGCGCAATGATACCCGACGGTCTCCTTAGCGTGTGTCTTAACCTTCTTCGTCTTCCTAGGCATACTCTTGTGTAATAGGTTCTTAGTTGGTTTATTCTCGGAATTTTTTTGTTTCTAAATCTTTCTGGCCGGCCATCTTATTTTCAGTAGGAAGCCAGAGAAGGCATCTGTTGATAAATACTTTCCATGACGCTTTCGCGAAATTTCTGACCCAAATATAGAAGAAGTGACTTGATATTGATGTTGGAAATTCTAATTTTCTTCTTTATGCTGAGTTCAGAATATTTCCAAACTGATTTCACAGTAATGATAGTCTGTCCTGCATCTCTGATTATGGCTGGTTTTCACATCCTTATCCTGTCCGCCTGTATTGAAAACAGAGTGAAAGTATTGATTTCCTTCAGACTTCTTCTTTTGGTGGTGACTAGTGCCTGCAGTTGAAGGTTGGGGTTCACCATCACCTCTGTCTTCTTTCTCGTTGCTTTGCTGCTTGTTGTGTCAACTTCTCGGATGTCACCTGTAGATCTTCGATTGTATATGACATGAGACATAAATCAACTGTGATGTTTAGATCTTTTGGAGTCTTTTTATTCTGTCGAGCGTGTACCTGCCTTCGCGTCCCCCTACGTCCACAAAAATCAGAAATATCATAGGTGATAGTAAGCAATCTCGTGTTGCTTCGATCTTCATACTGTTTCTGCTATTTGGAGTTATCAACAAGCATGAAGTTAATAGAGCTTGAAGACAGCCTGTATTATAATAAAGTTATCCTACGGGTTGTTCACTGGTTGATATCAGTTAGAGAACCATTGAAAACTAGCCACAGGGAGTACTGCTAGACAGCTGTTTCCCTTGTCCTAGTTTGGGAATCATCAGCAGTTCACACCCACCACAAGGGTTTGAACCCAGGATCTACCGGTCGCAAGGCAAGCTCGTATACCATTCAGCCCATGAAGGTTTTGGGTTTGAATCCCTGTAGTGGGTGCATACTGCCAATGATTCCCAAACTCAGACACTGAAAACAGCTGTCTGGCAGTACTCCCTGTGGCTGATTTTCAATGCTTCTCTAACTGGCATCAATCCATGATCAACTTGCCGAAACAAATCTAATCCTTACAAACCAACTATTGAAAAGTTATCCTAGGCATATTATTATTATTATTGTTTTTTTGTTTAAAAGTTGAAAATTCTCTAAAGGACAATGTTATTAACATTCTACATGTATTTACGTATAAACTAGACACTGCAGCATAGACGTCATCACGAAAGTTTTATCCAGCTAGTTTCAGTGATGTTTTTCAGTAACTGAGTGTACTATGATATGTATGTCTAACATGTTTACGATTAAATTGGACACAATGTAAATGCATTTGTACATACATATATATATGTACTTATATATATCATATACACATGCGTATCTGTCGCATTATGACGTCATTTTATGATGTGAGCCGTAAAATGTATTAACAATACGTCAACCCCCTCCCCGCCTCCATTCAGTGTTTAACTTAGTCAGATTTTGATTACATTTTATCATGTGAAAGTTGAAGTGAATAAGGATGACATTTTAGTTCTTTTTTTTCTTTTTTTTGACTTTGAAACAATTGTTTATTGATGAAGCAGTTTTATTCCGATGATAATAATGATGATGATGATGATGACAGGCTAATTACCCTCATGATATATCTGATAAGAAGGATGCTTTGCCTGGGCAATAATCACTACCTAGTGTCCTACCAAAGTAACCGATAAAGTCTTACAGCCGGTAAATCGTGAGCCCAGATAGCTCAGTGGTAACGTCTCTGATTGCTGGCAGAAATGCAAGATGCGGGTTCGACCCTCAGAAGGGACATGAGTTCCTCCCTTCCTTCAAGGTTGCCGATATGCCTTGCTGACTGCTGGTGACTGCTAGCTAGTATGAAATCTACATCGAAGACTTCCTGCCGATTGCTTCCAACCATTTGGTCTCAACAATATCTGAGAGTATATTTATCAAAGTTAGGTTTGTTGGGTGATTTCATCCGAATGGTGAAATCCAAGACGATGATTTCGTCTTTTCTGGGACTCATCAGCTTGTCATGCTTGCACTGCAGTGAATAATGGTGTTCTCATTGAAACTCAGACTTTGAATCGGTGGTTTCGAACGGATGTCAATTGTCGCTTGTTGAAGCCATTGAACAACTTGGACGGGAATGCTACGTCTTTGTTAGCATAATGTCTCTTAGTAACAACTCTTTATTGATATCCTTCGGTAAAATCGACTGTTGTATATAGTTGACGACAGCTGTCACAGAGAATACAGAATACACATTTTCCCCGTACTTCAGAGCTATCAGCTGGATGTATCTGCATATTACCTCAAAACATTGTCAACGAATCCTTAATCAAAGTCGATGTCACGACAAAGAGAGACAGTGAACATTTCGTTGTAGAAAAGTAAAATACTGAGAAATTGGGAAGTCTACAAAAAGAGACACTGACGAGTAATTTAGCTTCCTGAGATGAGTCGAACCGCGGACACCTCTTTCTCCCTGCCTCTCAGCTCTAAACATGAGAAACGGTCGTCTGGTTAGCGAACACTATTGTTTAATATGACTGGTATCCCTACTACTCATCTCACTCATTTAGTAGTATATGAAAACATTGGCGATCAGTTTGAAAATGGATTTAATACAATTCAAAAAATAATTTGGTGACTCATTAGTTCAATAAATAGGGCATAAATATTGTGAAATGTTTCTATTTTGTCTGAGACGAAAAACAGTTTTTTGTGCCAATGAGATCTGAGCTCAAAGGTTTGAATTTCGCATTAACATTGTTATTCTTTTAAATATTCAATGACTACATTGGTGTATGGTGGAAATTTAATCTTTTTGGCTATGTGATGACTATAAAATATCGGGTAAAGGATATACAGTTTCTTTAGCTTTTGTAATTAAAATGTCAGGGGTGAGAGAGACAGGGTTTATTCTTTCATCCGTCTCTTTGTCCAGTCATGTTTAGTTAATGAATAGTTTTGGAGTTTACGGGCTATTGAATCAGGTGAACG